CCCCCCCATGCGCGCCGTTCTGAGTGGCTCGCTTGCCAGGCCATCCCCGCACCTCGCGGCCTGCCCGCGCCGCCCGGCCGGCGCATCATGCGACGGTGGGGATGGTAGGCCGTCCTGCCGACAGCAGTACATGAGCAGTAGGCTGGTCGGACGTTTGTATTCGCCTATCTTTAAACGTTAATATCTCGTTAAATATTGCGTCAACTGAAAAATGGTACAAAACTGTTTTGTTCCCCTTGATCCAATCTACGTCCCCATTGTGTTTCGATCCGTTTTTTTGAGACACCCTGTATACGTTTATTAAAGATCTTATATTGTAGTTGGCTCGTTTGCCCTTGTTTTATTTATTGATTTATTCTAATTGAGCCATATTAACATTTAATTATTTTAATTATAGCGTTTTAAAAAGCTCTCAAAGTAAGCTACAACAATATGTAATAAAAAATATGGGCTTCCATTTAAAAAATTCAAAATGGCTTTGCTCTCACTTTGACAACGCTACCCAAGGTCAAACAAATGATACCATCTTATGCTTTCCTCAAAGTCATAAAACTTTTGTCTGAACATATTAGTCATTTGATACACACTTTCAGAGATAATAGCTTGTAACATGGGCCACCCTGTATATAGCATATATTTTATTAATACAACAACAAAAAAATTCAAGGCTAACGAGAGTCAGCACGGCAGGAGTTGCGCAAATATTAAATTGGAATGATTAACTTTACTCCGTTTGATTTATGTCTTCTTCAGAGATTTTGAACGTTTCAATTCTCTTTGGAGCTCTCATCTACAAATTAGTCGTACATTCTTAATCGAAATTAATTTAACAGTTAATCAAAATTAAATCACTCATAGGTTGTCAAAACTGAAATAAATTCTAAACTGTCTAAACACATCGTCTATACCATCCGATGTATCGAGCGTGTCTAATGAATAATTTAAAAGGTCGTGCGATTATACCTCCATTCGATCTTGATAATTTTAAATTACTCGTTAGAAACGTTTGATACATCGGATTGTACAGACGATGTTTAGACAGTTTACTTTTAACATGTTCATTAAAATTAAGCTGAGCATTGAATTTTAGTATTTTGGGCATTTTAACATTATTCCAAAACTTCATAACACGTTCACGTGGCTTCATGATCCGTTGAGGTGAGTTGAAGTGAGTTGCTCGTTGGGCTTTCAGATGATTTTTAAATTGATCACAATTAATGTTTTAAATCAGAATCCATTTCGGTTTTGACAACCTGCGAATGACTTAATTTTGACAGTTAAACTAATTTCAATTAAGGCTATACGATTGATTTGCTGAGGACTCCAAATTAAAAGAGTTGAAACGTTCAAAATTTCGGAATAAAGAAGATATCATAAATCAAGTAAAGTTAATAATTTGCGCAATCTCTTCCGTGCTGATTCTCATTAGCTTTGAATTTTTTTGTTGTATTTTAAAGATTGAGAGTCCTTTCAAATTATATTATTTCTATATATGTATATATATATACATATATTTTATTATTAAACTTCATCTTATGAAAAGAATTTCGCAGGCATTTATTGATTCTTGGTCACTGTGATTTCTGGATGCGCTTTTAAAAATAAATTCAAATAATTTTAAATATTTTCTGTTCACTGTATATTCAATATTATGACTGTCTTTTAGTCTTCTAATATGTAAGATGTTCTAAAGATCTTCCATGACAACCGTTAGTAACAGACATCTAAGATTAATTCAAAATGAAAATTTCAACATCAAAATCAATAAATAAATTTAAATCGTTATAAATATCTTCTCAGCTTAATTCTCAGCTATATTCGAAATTAATAATTCTGCATGTACACAGATCATTTAACAGTTAATTGTCACGACAAATTTAGAATAATTTTGTATATGAAAGTCCTGTTCTAAAAGAGATAGTACACGAGATAAAACTGTGTGTTCAGCAACAAATCATATATAAGATTTATATATCTTATCTCGCTTGATAATAAAATTAACAATTACGCACGTATGAAAAGTTATGTACATTGCAATCGAGTAAAATTTCATTTTTTATTCAAAATATACCAAAAATATTTTAATATCAAGTCCTTAAACACATCTTCATTTTAAGATTAAAAATTTTTTTTTTCTATTCTTGTATGTATATTCATTCAGTAGATCAAAATTTAAAAAATGTTAGATCCAATCTTTGAAATAACAAATTATTTCTATCACTAATTAAAATTTTAAACTATAGTTGTTAAATAGTCCGGCTAAAATAAGCAAATAATACAATACATGAGATGATAATACGCACAAATATCATTATATACATGTTATCAGACTTGAGATAAATATGTTCTGAAGAAGGTTATCTAATACATGTGTATCAGCGTGTGCATGCGTAAAAATGGTTGTAGATATAACAAACAACTGGTCTCTGAAAAATTCAGTTGACAGCAGACTGACCAAAGAGAAACTGGAAACCATGCTGCTGAAGCTACTGATCGCTGTGCTTTGCTTCGGCTTCGCCGTTTACGCAAATACAAATGTTACTGCCCCAAGGGTCAAAACACCTTTGGGAGGATTGAAAGGCTACTACAAGGTCTCACAAAATGGTAGAAAATACGAGGCATACGAAGGGATCCCTTATGCATTGCCACCTATTGGGAAACTACGATTTAAGGTACCAAATTAATGATTGATATGATATCTTTAAAGCTGGTCGTTTTAAAAAAACTAAATTTTTTAAAACGACAATTCTTACGAAAGAAAACGGAAGTAGATTTTTACAATAGATAATTTTTACATAGAAATAAAATTTTCATAAAACTTTCTAACATAAAAATATTGGCAAAAAATGTTTTAGTTAAGAGTTTTAATTTCTTCATTTTCTCTATGCAGCCTCCTCGGCCAATACCGGCATGGACTGGTGAATTATCGGCTACAAAATTCGGTTCCGAGTGTATTCAATACGATCATATCCCAGAACATCAACCTTCGGAGAAGGTTGTGGGTGCCGAAGATTGTTTATATTTAAACGTTTACGTGCCAGTACGGGAAAAAGAAGGAAGTAAAATCCCATTGCCAGTATTATTTTGGATCCATGGCGGAGCGTTCCAATTTGGTAGCGGCATGTTATATAGCGCCAAATATCTAATGGACTCCAATGTTATACTTATCACTATTAACTATCGGTTGGGACCAATGGGTATGTGATATATATTTGCACTAACACTTATAAAGATAACACTTATAAAGATTAGTAGCTTGTTATTTAAAACAATATTTCCAATCAAAGTTTATCTAGTCAAATGTTTTAATACGACTTCATTTAACTAATTTTAGAATTAATGTGCAAGCTTGTTTTGTACGTCTCACTCTATCTTTGCTCTTGATTTCTTAAAAATAATTTTTAAAAAATATTAGGTTTCCTGAGCACGGAAGATGAAGTAGTTCCTGGCAACATGGGTTTGAAGGATCAAAGTATGGCACTTCGTTGGGTCTCACAGAACATCGAATGGTTCGGTGGCGACTCGAACAAAGTAACTTTGGTTGGATTGAGTGCTGGTGGTGCAAGCGTGCATTATCATTACTTATCACAAATGAGCGCTGGACTCTTCCAAGGTATTTTATGAGATAATGTAAAAATTAATGCAAAGATTAAATCGTTTCGTCTACATTACATTAAACTGCTACATCGTAATTTTATATAATTTAGGTGGTATATCGTTCAGCGGTACAGCGCTTGATTGTTGGACGCAAGCTGAGAATTCTAAAGAGAAGGCCAAGAAATTGGGCGCTTTAATGGGATGTCCTACAACTAGCTCCAGAGATATGATACGTTGCTTGAGATATCGTCCAGCTCGTGCGATGGTTCAGGCTACGAGTGAATTTATGGTGAGACTCACTCCTTTCTTTTATTGTCTTGAAACAAGAATAATCTTTGGATATAGAAAGAAGAAACCTGATTAATTCTATGATTTTAGCCATTCTTGTACAATCCCTTTACTCCTTATGGTCCGGTAGCTGAGAAATTTGGTGACGAAACACCCTTTATCGATAGAACACCCGTTGAAATCATTAATAGTGGAGATGTCCAGGATATACCTTGGGTGACGGGAGTAACAAGCGAAGAAGGTCTCTATCCCGTAGCTGGTAAGATGATGCGAAGAAAAATAAGAAAACTCTCCTCCTTAAATGATGCGCAGTTATTTATGAATATTAATTTATCGTAGAGTTTATCTCTGATGATCAAAAACTGAAACAGTTGAACGATAATTGGGATATTCTTGGACCGAATTTTCTTGATTTTAACTACACCATTCCCAAAGAGAAACATGTCGAGGTTGCTCATCTCATTAAAAAACATTATTTTGGTACAAAATCGATAGACCCACAAAGTGTGAAAGAACTGATACAAATGGCGAGTGATCGCTTCTTCGTAGTCGATGGCGAAAAGGCTGCGCGAATGCAAGCCAAAGTAAATCAGAATCCAGTCTGGTTCCATTATTTTAGTTACAGAGGAGAACAAAGTTTGAGCGATTCTTTCAGCGGTACCACTATAAATTATGGTAAATCTGTAAAATATCAATACTCAGGACAATATAGACATATATGTATATGCTCGTAAAGAGTTTTAACTTACAATTTGTTTATTTATCTTATTAGGAGTCTCACACGCCGATGATACATTCTACGTATTAGATACTAAATGGATTAATCCAACAACAACACAAAAGGACCGTGATATGCAGAAACACTTAATCGACTTTTGGGTATTGTTCGCTTCAGAGGGGTAAGCATAAATAGATGTATTACTTAATGTATATTACACATAATATTGAACATGAAACTCACAGAATGTGTGCGAAAATACTAATTCTTCGAATTTTTTCAGAATTCCGAAAGTAGCCAATGTGGAATGGCTAAAATTAGATCCTTCAAAACCAGAACTTCATTATTTGCATATAGCAGATCCTAATAAAATTAACATGGACAGCAGTGTTAATCTTGGAGAAAAAGAATTCTGGAATTCGATTGATTTCAATGAAAATGTATTAAACCACACAGCTGAAATCAATAAAGATGAGCTTTAAAAAATATTGCAATAAGAGATAAACGTGCATCTCTTGTCTAAAGCGAATTTAAGCATTTGTTTTAATTTAATCAGTTTTGTATATAAATTTATATTAAGTTCTTATATAAATTTAGAAGTATATTTTTCTTTATTCCTAACTTAAAGAAATGAACAACTGTATAATTTTTTGTACAAATAATAAAAAGTGCTAAAATTTTTTTACACCTTACTCTATTTACCCGGGAAAAAAAGAAGATTTCATTAAATATGTGTGGATCAAATTAGATCAAATAAGATCAAATTTTATCTGATGAGATTTAGTTTTTAGATATAATCAGATCTTCAGAAATCTAGCTTGGCCTCACATGATTGATGTTATATCTATTAAGATCTAAATAGATAATCTGCGATTATCTATTTAGATCTTAATGGATATAACATCAATCATGTGAGGCCAAAGTAAATCAGAATCCAGTCTGGTTCCATTATTTTAGTTACAGAGGAGAACAAAGTTTGAGCGATTCTTTCAGCGGTACCACTATAAATTATGGTAAATCTGTAAAATATCAATACTCAGGACAATATAGACATATATGTATACGCTCGTAGAGTTTTAACTTACAATTTATTTATTTATCTTATTTTAGGAGTATAATGGATATAACATCAATCAAATAAATAAAATGCTATATTGAATATAAAGAAAGCATATTGTAGATCTACGAGAAAATATTGATATAAATGAATATTTAACTTTATACAGTAAAATTAAATGTAATAAATATTAGATCTACAGAGATATAATAATATCAAAGAAGATATATATATGTACAAGTGTAATCTGATAAAAATTGGCGTACATATCTACAGAGATCTACAGAGATATAATAATATCAAAATAGATCTACAATCTTGGCCAAAGGTATAAGGTAGTAAGGCACAATTGCAATTTTGTCGCATTTTACGAAAAGTTAAGTATCTTGACGAAAAATCTCACAAGGGAAGTTTCACAACTGTCCGGAACCGATTTGATTCTCCATGAAATATGTTATTAAACACGAAAATCTAAGAGAAAATCTAAGAAAAAAAACGGTACTTCTATTTCGAGCCGAATACCGTCGGAAGTATAAAAGATGGAAAAAAATTTTTTAAACAAAAGTTGTACGATTTCAAGAGTACATCAATGTTGTGAAGAAAAAAAATTAAAAAAATTTTTTTGTTTAACAATTAATAAAAAAATTATAAAAAAATTTTTTTTTCACAACATTGAAGTACTCTTGAAACCGTACAACTTTTGTTTAAAAAATTTTTTTCCATCTTTTATACTTCCGACGGTATTCGGCTCTTTCTTTTATACTTCCAACGGTATTCGATTCGAAATAGAAGTATCGTTTTTTTCAAAGGAGTGTTTCACCCCTTAAACATGAGTTAGCGCACGTATAAAAAAATACGCGTCTCTCTCTTAAATTTTCGTGTTTAACAACATATTTTATGGAGAATCAAATCGGTTCCGGACAGTTGTCCGGAAACTTCTCTTGTAAGTAGATCAAAAGGATTACCTGCACAATTACAAGTATATCTAATGAGATAAATGTTTATATATTAGGATATAAATAGATCATAGTATATCTACATCGATTTACTTTGATCAGGTCAAAATGAAGATCTCTTAAGATCTCTTTTTAGATTTAATGAGATCTACACATATATAGTCTTCTTCATTTTTTCCTGGATAATTTGATGTTTACCTCTTATTGATATGGTACTTAAATGTCTTCTTCTTTGTAAGAAAATTAATATTTAATACTGATGTCTAATTTAATTCCGCGCTATCCGCTTATTACCTTCTTCTTGCCTTATGTATATATGCATGTGGGTGTATATGTAGATGCGCATACGTATATGAATATGTATATGTATGTATCTAATGTGTACGTGCGCGTTTCCTTTTATTTAACTATATTATCTTTTTATTGCTAGCTGTTTGTTAGCGTATCACATTTGCACGTATACTATTCTTTCTCTCACTTTCTCATAGCTATGAGACAACAGATTTCAGATTTTGTATAACAGCAATATAAAGATTATTATTTTTTCATATTATTATTATTCTTACGATCCTTAATCTGCAAGATTTTTATACTAAGCAGAGAGTTTTTAAAACTTAATTGTCTTGCCATCAACTTGCCTGTGTTTTTGCTTCTTTCATTTGAGCTAGCTTATTTTTCTTACTATTTTTTCCCGTTGTTACATCATCAACACATGTATCATGACTTAATCATCATAAATTATACATGGTTCGTTTAACATTGTATCTCTCAGGATCAGCACATTCTGTTCTTAATATACTGAAGCTCTTTTAAATTCTTTTCGACGGAGATCTATAAATACTCCCGTATTATATCGTCAAAAGACTTCAAATTCTCAATCATCGAAGAATTCTCATACGGTTTTAACAAAGTACTCAAGAATATTTTAGGGTTGCTTGTCGATAGATTTTTACTGTTAATTTCTTTAACATATAGAAGTCAGATATTTCTTAGTGACTTAGGCTGTTTTACATCTCTTTGAAATAATCTGCTTCTATTATATTCAGAGATATATAATCTTTCTTTTAGCGAAAACAATAAATTTTGTTTCTATAGTTTTATAGATCTGACTTTATAGAATATATTTTTCGCATATTTGTTTTGAAGATTACGCGAATTATCATCAGTTTATCTATTAAAATGTTATATAACTCTCTTGAACTAGTTTGCGCAAATTTTTTGTTTCGCAGTATTACTCTACTTTGAATTCTCTAGCTCTGATATATTGAATACTTTTTTTCTTGTCTTTTTTCTGCTGTTTTAAATAATTGAGCTCATTATATAATATAACATTTCGTGTCTACCTACTATTTGTTAGAATTGCTTATAATTAGTTTCGTTTAATTAGTTTCGTTATCGAAGTTCGTATGTGAATGTAAAAGAAAAAAATACTATTAGTTCTTTTTGAAAATAATTGCAATATTTTTATTGCAGTGCCATCTTAAATAAAATATTAAGACACGCAAGTTTTATGAGCAACTTACTAAGTGTAATTTCATCGGGTAGTTTCACGCCTACATGTATAAATAAGATTATATAACGATATTAAATACATTAAACGTAGCATGCATCAATTAAGTAATCATGTTCGTATCTCTAATCAAAATTATAAACGACTTAACCCAGAACTATATATTAATGAGTAATAAAAATAATACTTGTTACAATACATTATTAAACATTTGTTAGAAGGATTCAAATTGCAGATCCAAGTTGATCCTTCATCTCTACTAGCTTTAAAAAATTCAAATTATTTTTACATATATTTCTGTACTCAGTATTTATATTAAAAGTTTGCTCAGTAGTCTTCCACCATGTATAAAAAATACATCTGAAAAATAGATGATACAGATAAACTATACATGTATATATGTATGCGATAATGTGTATGCGGATTGATATAAGATATCTTATCTCGCTCGTAAACAAAATTGCAAGTTGCAAGTATATAAAGTTACACATATTACAATATTCTCAGATGTGAAACTTCATTTCTCGTTCATATTTATTTCAAGATGAACTGTTAATTTCATTTTTATCTTAAAATTTAAAAGAAATTTCTTTTGTATTCCCACGTATTTTATACAAGTAAATAACATTCATAAATAAAGTGTCCATCTTCTTAGACATAATAAATTTTATTCGATATTTTTGTCACTTTTTAAAAACATAATAATTGTTGATTATTCTAACTAAAATAAATATGTAACATAATATGAGATAATTACATAAACAAGTATATGTTATAGACAGTATTAGCTGTTATTAAGTTTGATAAATACGTTCTCTAATGATTATTTAATTTATGCATATCCGTATATGTAGACACCAATGCCTCTTTATTCAAGGATATAAGAAGCAACTGGTTCTAAAGAGTGCCAGTTCACAGTAATCTAAACAAGGTGCAACAGGCTATATGAGAAATATTATGTTGCTGCAGTTACTACTGATCGTTCTACTTACCTTCGACTTCACCATTCACGCGAATATAGATGAGACTGCTCCAAAAGTTAGAACATCTTTGGGAGGACTGAAAGGCTACTACAAGACCTCGCAAAATGGCAGAAAATACGAAGCCTATGAAGGGGTTCCTTATGCTTTGCCACCTGTTGGGAAATTACGATTTAAAGTACATAATCGAATTAATTATTGGAATAAATATCTTTAAAGTTGCACTATGAAAAATTTCTGGTTGAAAATAGACGAATCAAAAAATTCTGATCATATTTTAATCAAAATTCTGATTATTTCAACTATAATTATAATAGGTTCAATTAGAAAATTTTGATTCATTTTCAATCAGAATTCCAATTAATGCAACTAAATTCTTCTTTTAGTATACATTTCTTGAAATGATACGTACTTTTAATATGATAAGATGAAAGTAGATTCTAGCAATAGGTAATAATTTATTACAAATACTTAATTGTTAATTACTTTCCTTTGTTTAGAAATTAAATTTCCATAAAAACTTTCTCACTTAAAAATATTGACAAAAAATGTTTTAGTTAAAAATTTCTTCTCATTTTTCTTGCGCAGTCCCCTCGGCCAATACCAGCATGGATTGGTGAACTATCAGCTACAAAATTAAGTGCCGTATGTATTCAATATGATCAAGTGCCAGAACATCCTCCAGAGAAGGTTGTAGGTGCCGAAGATTGTTTGTATTTAAATGTTTACGTGCCAGTACGAGAAAAAGGGGAAAATAAAATCCCAATGCCGATAATATTTTGGATCCATGGCGGTGCATTCCAATGTGGTAGCGGCATATTGTATGGACCCAAATATCTAATGGATCACGATGTTATACTTGTCACAATTAACTATCGATTGGGACCTATGGGTATTTAATATCAACATTATATACTTAGGGTAACTCCGGTATATACGCCGCACCTATCAAAAACTTAATTTATTAAGTATTATTTACTATGTTTATAGTAAACGAACTATATCAGTAAAACTTTGTACTGTCTACTACTATGAAAAAAATATTAGAAATCCGAAATATTTATTTTTCATATTAAAAAATGAACTTTTTGAAACCTTGTATTTTTGCTGCATATCTCATAGGGGTGGAATATATGGCTACTCATAGGGGGAAAGGGGATATGTACGGCTCATGAAAAATTTACAAATAATGCAAACATGCTTAATAATACAAACATGCTTTACTATTCCACTACACGTATGTATCACGAAATAACCACTAAGTCTTTCACACGTCCTACATTAATCATTTTATGTAGATTATAACTTATGATGGCGTTACTTATTACAGTGACAAATCGATTCAACTCACAATAAATTCATTAATATTAACAGTAAGAAGCTGAAATCATAACACAATACTAATATAACATAAAGGCATGTAACAGAGTAGTTACGGGAAAATTACCCCCACTCCTTCTATTTTTTCTGACTTCTGCGGCGTATTTGCCGGAGTTACCCTATATAAAAATATTAGCACATATTAGTAAAAATAATATTTATTACTTTTAAAGTGTTAAAGTTTATCTGCTCAATTGTTTGATACAAACAAGATTCAATCTGGCCAATTTTAAAACAAATGTGCAAACTTATGTGTTGTGCGTTTCATGCTCCTAATTTGACCCTTGAGAACACTATTTTCGCCACCTGATTTCACCACACATGGGTTACGGTAATCCTGGAGTCTTCTTTTGCTTTTATCCCGGGACCTAATGCAACAATTTTAACTTTTTTTTTAATCGATATAACAGACAGTAAGGAAAAAAAATATATAGATAAGAATATCATAAAACTTGCGCTAAGATATTTTGAAAAAAAAAAAAAGAAATTTCAAAATTAAAAAAAAAATCGTTTTTTTCAAACGGACTGGGTTACCGTAACCCAGTGTGGTGTTTAAGGGTTAATTCTTAATTGAAAATAACTTTTTAAAAATATTAGGTTTCCTGAGCACGGAAGATGAAGTAGTTCCTGGCAACATGGGTTTGAAGGATCAAAGTATGGCACTTCGTTGGGTATCTCAGAACATCGAATGGTTTGGTGGCGACCCTAAAAAAGTGACATTGGTCGGTTTGAGTGCAGGTGGTGCAAGCGTACATTATCATTACTTATCGCAAATGAGCGCTGGACTATTCCGAAGTAATTTTATGATAATGTAAAAATTAACATAAAGATTAAAAATCATTTCATCTACATTATATTAAACTGCTATGTCACAATTTTATATAATCTAGATGGCATATCGTTCAGTGGTACAGCATTTGATTGTTGGACGCAAGCTGAGAATTCTTTAGAGAAGGCCAAGAAATTGAGCGCTTTAATGGGATGTCCTACAACTACCTCCAGAAGCATGATACGTTGCTTGAGATATCGTCCAGCTCGTGCAATCGTACAAACTACAAGTGAATTTATGGTAAAACTCGTTCCTACTTTTATTATCTTGATAAACAAAACAAACGCAGTCCTCGGATGAAGAAAAGAAAGTTATGATCAGTCTTATGATTTTAGCCATTCTTTTTTAATCCCTTCACTCCTTTCGGGCCGGTAGCTGAGAAATTTGGCGATGAAACACCTTTCATCGATAGAACGCCCATTGAGATTATCAATAGCGGAGACATCCAGGATATACCTTGGGTTACAGGAGTAACGAGTGAAGAAGGCCTTTATCCTGTGGCTGGTAAGATAACGTGCATAATAACACAGATATTTACTATAAATATATAACCTATTGTAGAGTTTATTGCTGATGATCAAAATCTGAAACAGTTGAATGATAATTGGGATATTCTTGGACCAGACTACCTTGATTTTAATTATACTATCCCGAGGGAGAAACATATCGAGATTGCTCGGCTTGTTAAGAAACATTACTTTGGTACAAAACCAATCAATCGACAAAGTACGAAAGAACTGATACAAATGTCGAGTGATCGCTTCTTCGTCGTAGATAGCGAGAAAGCTGCGCGAATGCAGGCCAAAGTAAATAAAAATCCAGTTTGGTATCATTACTTTACTTACAGAGGTGCGCAAAGCTTAAGCGATGCTTACAGCGGTACCACCGTGAATTATGGTAAGCCTGTGAAATATTAATGTTCAAGAAAATTTACAATATAGATACACATACTTCTATTTTAAAAGTTTAATTTAAAAAAATTATTTATTCATTTTATCAGGCGTCTCACATGGCGACGACGTAGTCTATGTGTTAAATACTTCCTGGGTAGATCCACTTACAACACAAAAAGATCGCGATATACAAAAGCATTTAATCGACTTTTGGGTATTGTTTGCCACAGAAGGGTAAGCAAAAAATACTTACATATTGCATACGTATTAAACGTAAATTCATATAATACAAAAATACTAATTCTTCTAATTTTTCAGAATTCCGAAGGTAGCTAATGTGGAATGGCTCAGATTAGATCCTTCAAAAAAGGAACTTCATTATTTGCACATAGCTGGTCCTGATAAGATTAACATGGACAGCAATGTTAACTTTGGAGAAAAAGAATTCTGGAATTCGATTAATTTCAAAGAGAATATATTGAAGCACTCAGCTGGAATCAATAAAGATGAGCTTTGAATAACAATGAAATAAAAAACAAACGTTTGTTCTAAATTGAAGCTTTGTTCAAATATAATGTGTGTTATTTAGTTTTATACATACATAAATTTATATTAAATTTCTCTTTATTTCAAACATATAAAAATAATTATCAATTAATTTCTTATGCAAACAATAAAAAATGTAATGTTAAAACTTATTGTATAGCTTATAAGGTTGCACTACCAAGAATATCAAATCTTAGTCCTTGTTTTAGTGTGATATGAATGTTTAATGTTCCCATTTTCTAAATTATGTATAATAAAATATTTGTTAAACTATTATACGTAACAAATTATTTTAAAACTATAAAATAGGAATATTTTAATATGTATATTTAGATACAGAGAATGGGAAGGAATTTATTATTAATAGAATTATTAATAAATTCTTTTTCATGTTTTTTTTAATGAAGCATTTCTAATAAATATTAAAAATTCTTCATTAAGAAAGATTAATCAAATACAACAATCATATTACACTGACTAAAATAAGTGTTTTATCCACACATCTAGTTTTATTAAAATATTATAAAATTAAATAATAGGAATACAAGTGTGTTGTAACATTAAACCTAACAAACTCTTATATTTTATATAAAATAATATTAAATAGTGAATTATAAAATCAAATAACTTTCTCAATAAAACAGCGCGTCCTATAATGATTTCTAAAAATGTTTAAAATAAAGGATGATAAAAGAGAATAGAGATAACCGATATATGATCGATAAAACTATAAATATGAATATAGCGTTACATATAAGTAAAATATGCCATTTTTTTTCAGAAAGAACTAAAATATTCAGTCTTTAATGTGGAATCAGTTGTACTATTTCTATAAGTATATAGATAATTCAAATCTGCTAAAATCTTTGTTTTAAAATTTAATTCTTTATGATGCTTTGAGATATCGAAAATTTTATAAAATTAAGATTTTATGAAATCAAGATTAAGATCGATAGTTTAGAACCAGAACTTATATTAACAAACAGCATACTTACTTGAAAGTTTCATAAATAATATAAGTTCGAAAACCATTGCATCTAATTTTTATTTACTAAAGATATGACAATATGCAACAGTAGAATTAATTTCTTTAATTAGTAACCAAAATATGCACATTAAATCCGATATTCATGGTCGGTTCTTATATCAAGATTTAAATAATGTCTTAAGATGCAGCTCTGTAATTGATTTATTACATCTTAAGACTGTACCTAAGTTAGTCTTAAATACAAGAATCAACTATGGATATTGATCTATGAGTATTAACAGTTATCATGTTAACTTATATTTGACAAAATCTGTTTCCTGTCTCAAGATACCAGTGAGGATAAATTCTACATCTTGTACCGTAACAATCTTCGGTGCTTTAGCAAGAAACTTTTTTGCGTTTGGTAAATCTTCTTTACGAGATAAAATCATCGCTCTTTCGGGCCATTTAGCCGGTGGACGTAATAGAGCTTTTCCTCCACAAGACGACACTATATCTATAAGAATACAAATATTCAAATATTTTATATAAGTTGATATAAAAATATTTCTATATTACCTTTTAATTCTTTTATAGGCGGTGGCCCGACGTTCGGCGTCAATACAATGATATAGCCGTCTAGCATTTTTTTCTCCTTAGCTTTATCAAGACTCTCTCTCAGTTTGAAATCATACCTGGTTTCGGCTTCGGGATCTTTTAATATATACTTTTCCCAATCTATAAACTCTTTCTTAGTTTTACTTTCTGTTAACCAATCGATTGCCACTATGGGTACACTTTTCGCTAACGCGCATAAAAATTTATATGTTCGACGAACTTTATCAGTAACTAAAACGGTGCACTGTGCCGGATCTTCCACTTTACTTCCACCTGTAAAATAAAAATGATCAACAAATAGTAAAATAACTGTTAATAATATTGCGAAGAAATCTATTCATTTAAATATAATTTATTTAAATTTATATTCACCTAATGTTTTAACAATCTCACTATAATTTTCCGTTACATCCGTTATACCCGTAAATAAAACTTTATGTTTCATTATGGATGATGTGGAATTATTTAGACTCGACATACTCCTGCGAGTTCTAGAAGGCGTTAAAATAAGAGATGTAGTTTCCGTACTTATATTTAGACTTGAAGCGCTCTCGTCAATTAATCTACAAGTATTTTGATTCGACTCCATCTTCTTTCTTGCTGTCCTCGATCGTGAAGATCTAGAATTTATCGAAGCATCACTTTCGGTACCGCTTTGGCTACTTTCACCAGTTGTGTTTTCTGTGGAGGTATCAATAAGTGAACTTGTTGAAGTCTGCTTAATACGAGAAGGCTTCTTAAATATTTCTTCCTTTCTTTTTATTGAGACTTGTGCTTGTGACAGCGAAGAGATGGAACTTTTAGCAGATTTTTTACGTTTAGCTTTTGGTACAGCATTGTCAAGTTGCATATTATCAGAGTCTTCTATCTCAGATGATAAACTACTCTCAGTTAAAACAAAATCTGTTTTGGTATCTGAATTTGGTTGTTTCTTGCTTCTGGTTCTCAATTCTCTTTTAAATATTTTCACCTGACTACCTTCTCTGATTGATAAATTCTTATTCTGCGTATTACTCGGAACTCTTGCCATGATACTTTCGACTTCTTGTGATCCATCATCTAAGCTCTTTATGGGATTAAGTATAATTTTCAGAATTTTGTCTTGCTGTTTCGTCCGTGTTTTTGTTTCTTTGATTGGAGATGGCTTATTTTTCTTACTATTTTTACTTGCAGTTACATCATTGACATGTGTCACGACTTGATTACCATAAATTGTCTGCCTGGTTCGCTTAACATTGGATCTCCCAGGATAGACATTTCTATCTGCTCTCATATTTAAGGAGATCTCTTGAGTTTCTTCCAACGTAGTTTTAGATATTGCTTTATTATCTTCGGAAAACTTTATATTTTCAGAGATACTTTCACATGATCTTATTTTAGCAACATGTTTAAGGATATTTGGGGATTGCCTATCGGTTGCGGTTTTCATGGCACTTTTGCGACTGCGTGTAGAAACTACAGGATATTCCTCAGTTACAGTTTTACGTTTTTTCAAAGTAGTTTGTTCCACGCTTTCTTCTATCACATTTAGAGGTATCTTTCTCTTACCGATAATAAATTTTGTTTCTGACTCCGTAGATCTGGTTGCTTCTATACTTTTTAAAGTTTCTTTTTGAAAATCATGTAGACTCTCGTCATTTTGTTTGCTGGAATATCGTGTTATTCTTGAACTGATCCACCCAGAATTTGTTGATTCGTCATCCATACTCTGCTTTGGATCTTCTGACATATCTGATGAACTTTCCTTGCTTCTTTTCTTCTGCCGTTTCGGATAATGTTCATTACTTAACATTCTATTTGCAATTTGTTGGAATCGTTTATAGGCGGATTCGCTGGAATCATCAGATTCATCAGAAGTGTCCGCTGGGCCTACTATTCTGTCAGTCTTTAAATTGTCGTGAACAAAATTGGACTGACTATCAATGAATGACTTATTGTGTTTGCCAGAGTTTTCAATATCCCGTTTACGTGATGATTTTCCTTTTAAGGATGTATTTCCTTTTCCTTTACTCCTTGCGATATCTCGTTTAGATTTTGTGCTACGCATAGTTGACGTCGATGATGCAGGAGGACTCGCTGGATTTGAAAGAGTTCCTGATATTCTAACAGCTGGTAAGCGCATTAGAATGTCATCGTCACTTTCATATAATGTATCCAATATTTGCGCACGTTGTCCACCATTTTCTGATGGGCAAGGTGCGCAAATTGATGTTTTCTCTTCTGTATCATCGACTTTCAATTTAGTTGGACTACTTTCTAAGACTTGTTTCCTCGTTTTCGACACGGATTCATCATCACATTTCGTCAATTTTGAACTTTGACTTCTTTTATTATTTCCACTTGAGATGATTTTATTCTTGTCATCGTTTAATATTTCCGTTATTGAATCAGATTCGTGTTTTGTCTTTGCAATTCTTTTTCTTCTCTTGTTAGATTCTTGAGCTACATTATCATCCATGGCTTTTTCATTACTTGCTTTAGACGTTTGAGAAAAATCAATGTCTTGACCAGAAGGAGTTATATTCTCCACAGAGTCTGCAATCTCTTGTGTATCTCTTAAAATATTTCTCTTTCGTCTTGTAGTAATAGTAGAAAAATAAATATCTGAATTTTGAGATTCAGTCTCTGCCTTATTTACATTATTCGTATTTACTTCACTATCCAGTAAATTATGTGAATGTTGATTGAGGGATGCACGCTTTTTCTTTTCTGTTTGCTTTTGTGGCACGTTACACGTATTTTTGTCATCAGCGTTGGCTTTATTAATAGAGTCATCACTTTGCGATGATTCCAGAATCTTTTCCAGATACTGCGTCGACATATGCGGCGACTCGTGAATGCTATTCATATCGTTATTTACCTCATCAAACATTTCATTGAGTTTTTCTTCAAGAGTGTCATTTAAATTTACTTGAGAAGAGTCTTTTTCACGAGTGGAAATTCCCTTTCCTTCATTTTCAATTTCACCGATTACTTGTGTAGGCGCAAGTTCATAATCTATATCTTCACGATCAAGATTTTCTGTTGTACAATAATCAACCAATTCTGCATTAATAATTCGCTTGTCTGCCACATCATTTACGTCGTTTCGATTATTTTTCAAGGCCAAGTCTATAGAATTACTCGGAGAAGTTTCACGTGATAAAATGACTTGAGTAGGCGCTACATCATCTGGCATAGATGTACTTCTTTGATTATCATGATTGTTGTTTATAAGTTGTGTCAGTGGCATATCACTAATTTCAGCTTCATTAATTTTATTAGAGTTTTGTGGTTGATCAATTGAAGAATTCGATGTATTCTTAGTCACAGGATTGTTCAATTGCGTTTGTGCATCAAACATATCTTCAGATTCAATACTCGTGCCAGGGTCATTTCTATCATTTACAACTTCAACAGATGGCTT